CCAAATATGACAGTTGAGCGACCGTGCTAGAACCACGGAACCCGGGAATGCCTAACACCTTCTCCCGGGTTAACAGAATTCCTTACCCGGATTTCTGGTTCGCGGACTGTTAACAGAGTCATAATTTCCTCGGTTCGGGATTCTAAACCGTTGATTTGGACACCATCAATCTCCCAAGTGGAGACTCTGTATCTTAATAATAAATCCCGTTCCGATTGTCCTTTAAGTGGAAAAACTCCTTTACGCCCTTGCGGGTGTAGTGAAAAAGGAGGTGTGACAGCTCTGGCGACTCTGCTGGGGATACAAACCCAGAACTTCGGTTCAGGGTTTAAGAATTCGAGCTTAGAATAATTGTTATGTTTGGCTTTATCTGATTTTCCTACATGTTTCCATGCCTTATGTGCTACATGCTTTACCGCTTTGATATTATGCGAACTGTATAAACTGTGCCGAAACCCTTCTCTTCTCACCTCCGGGGATGTGCTCACTGGTGGAGACTCCCTATTCTGTTAGTGTCATACCTTGAAATAAGAAAGAGGCCGGACAAGTTACTAAGCCGGACGATCCCGCGGGTCCCCGGTATGTAGCCCCCTTCTCGACTCGAGTTGTCCGCTCGGGTACACAGTCTAGAACACATACCCAGGTTTTGAACCTAGAATAACTTGACTCCATGCCGGATCCCTAGTAGGAGCGCCTATCTGCATCACGTGCATATGACTTAGGGGACTCAACACAGGGGTTGGGTCCGTCTAGGACAGGTAACCTGAAATGAAAAAGACCACCCTGATGCATATTACGTGTTGCACTTATTTGTCTCGGGCTTGCATGCTGACCGACTTTGGAGTATTTGGGGAAAATTGAAAAAAAAAAAACAAACAAAAAGAGAAAAAGAGAAAATAGCAGTGTGGAGAGTTAATTACCTATACTAGAAAAACCAATGTCCAAGTAGTGCCGAAATGCTGCCGGATTTTTGAGAAAATGAAAGAAAATAAGAAAAGTAGTTTTTTTTAGTTTGTTTTGTTTGCCAATGGAAACGAAAAACCCCCCCAAAAAAAGAGAGTTTTATTTTCAATTTAGTTTGTTTATTTGCCATTGAAAAAGAAAATATATAAAAGAATCTTGCTTTCAGAAAAAGTGTATTTGCCAACAAAAACAAAAAGAGTCTTGTTTTCAAAAATAGTCAGTTTTATCTGCCCGAACTACGCAGGTTTGATTCTCACCGGATGTGAGATACGTAGGCAACCCTCATCGGGTCCAACCTCCCCTTTTCCAAAAATAGTCAAAAATGCCAAAAATTTTTAATTTCGTCATGAATAAGTCGGGTGCCGCCATTCTTGTTTAAAATAAGCTGAATGTCCCCAAAAAGGGCGCCGGAAGGCTGGTTTTGCAAGAACAACCACCCTGAGTCAATTTCAACGGTTAGCAGGCACAGCCTTACAATTTCCCTCCCGGAAGTGCTGAAAGGCCGTAACTACAAAACTGACCGTTTGTTTTAAAATTGGAAATTTGAACAAAAATAGTGTCAGTTTTTTTCCTTTAAGGTCAAAATAAGTGATTAAATCACCTTAATAAATGTGCAGGATGAGCACGATTCAAAATGAGGGGAACTTGCATATAGGCCCGCGGCGAGACCGAACGATGTCCCGCGGGCACCAGGAGCTTTAATGTATTCATGATTGTATTTTGAGTCTGTATTTCCTTTTCTAACAGAGTTTGTCTTTTGAGTCTGTATTTCCTTTTCTACTAGAGTTGGTCATTTGAGTCTGTATTTCCTGGAGTCTGTATTCCCTTTTCGTTAAATGTCAGTCAGTTGATTGAGTCTGTATTTTCGTTTAAAATGGAATAGGGATGGTGGAGTCTGCAGTTCTTTTCTGCATTAGAGTCTGAGTCTTATTTGCTATCAATAAAATTGAAATTCCCAAAAATATTTTGCTTCTACTGTACATTTAGTCTGCAAGAACTACGCTCGGTCTGATTCACGCGGGGTCGTGATACGTAGGCAATCTCCATAGGATTCGACCGTAACTAAATGAAAAAAAAGGAAAAACGAGAAAAGAATGAAAAGAAAGAGGTGAAAGAAAGAAAGGAAAGAAAAACAAAAGGGGGAAAGAAAAACAAAAAGAAAATAGGAAATAAAAGCAAACAAGAGAAAATAAAAAGGGAGCAAAGGAAAGAAAAGAGCGAAAAAACAATTTTAAGGAAAGGAGCGAATAGGAACAAGGAAAAACCAAGGCAAAAGAAAAGAAGGAAAAGAAAAAAGGGAAGGAAGTCCTAACTCGTAGCCTGCTCGC